TTTAAACTGGAAGAAGGAAGATTTAGATTGGCTATAACGAAGAAATTCTTCCCAGTGAGGGTGGTGAGGCAGTGGCACAGGTTGCCCAGAGAAGCTGTGGATGCCCCATCCCTGGAAGTGTTCAAGGCCAGGTTGGATGGGGCTTTGAGCAACCTGGTCTGGTGGAAGATGTCCAGGGGTTGGAACCGGATGATCTTTAAGATCCTTTCTAACCAAACCATTCTATGATGAATGCTATTTTGCAGAAATACCATGCCCCTTAGGTGTTTGTGACCATGCTGTTTGCTTGCATTCTACTTTTGCATAAGGTCTATGGTATCTCACAATACCGCTTTAATATATAATGTATGAGTGATATTTTAAATTTTTTTTTAATTTTTCTGTAATGTTTTTAGGCTCTTATGATATATTTTTTAAAAACCTGAGTGTGGGAAGAAATTCTTTACACTTTTGTGAATACAGGATCACAACCTCAAAAGTTCTAAAGAAGGACCTGTGCATCTGAAAGCTTATTTACTTTTTCCATATAGATTAATTGATAGAATAAGACATATTTCTCTTCCTATAAACTTTGCATGAAAAAAAAAAAAAGCCTTGGCTGCCATAAGTTGCTGGAGTTCCCCTAACCTTAGCACTGCCTGAGCACCTGAACTGTGTACTCTGGACTGAGAAATCAAATTCATAGTAAAATGCTGATTGAGAGGGCGGTGGAGAAAAGGGGAAAAAGCCCCGTTGATGCCACCTTGTGGCAGTTAATAATGGCAACAAAAGTCGTTTCGCAGAGTTGCGTTCTCACAGTGTGACTGATTTCGTGAGAACCTTGAGGTGCTTCTGCAAGTTGGGAGCTGATGGGGGACATGCAGCTTTGAGCTCTGGGTTCGGCGCTGCCTAACTGAGTGTATCTCCCAGCATGAGTGGACACATGTGTGTTAGCCCACTTGTCCCAGCCATCAGTTGTGGACGGATACTATACCTGTATCTCTCCCAAATAATTTGATAAGAGTTGCAAGCTTCCCCTTTTCACAGTCCCAGAACTTGGTCATGCGGCATCTTTCATGCGGGGTTAGGTGGTGGCCTCTTCAACCTCTTGACCTTCAAAGGGTGGCTGGAGATTTTAAGCAGTCTGCAAGCTGTTAAGAGGTAGACTAGATACTCTTCACCTCGCTCTTCTTTCTTTAAGCTTAAGTCTGGGTTTTTGTTGTCCTTTAATAGAAATACTTTTTTTTTTTTTTTAAAATGCGTGTATTTTCCTCTTTGCATTTTGGTGTCAGTCATGCTTAGTGCGGTCTAAGATGCATGTAAAGGCAGATCCTGTTACAAGGGTGTTTTGCTTTAATGAGAAGGAGCTGCACCAGGCCTTTAGGAATTGCGGTTTAGCATAGCTATTAAAGACATGAGCATCCTTTCTTTCACAAGAAATAGGCATTTTTACAGCCTTGATAGGAGAGGTGCAAAATATGTTGGGAAATAAGCTCTTATCAGTAGTGTAACATAAAGAATAGGCATACTAAAAAGGAATATTAAACAAACAATTCTAGGGTAGTATATTTTCATACAAATAACCCACTACGTTGTCCATGAAAAGTCTCTTGAGAATCCACAAGATATACAAGATGAAGTTGTGTAAAATCAAACAGCATTTTTCTGTTTTCATTTTGGATAGAGCCTTGACTAGAGCAAACACAGACCTGGCTTTCCTGGGATTCCGAGAGAGCTTCATCCCTCCCTTTTTCCAGCATTTGTCACCAGGCGTGCCGTGCTGGGGCCGTGAATGCCGATGTGATGGCCCACAGAGAGCTGCTGTTTCCGAGACTGCTGCCCCAGCTGTGTGCTGAGCTGCAGCGAGGATGCCTGGGCTTTGAGGAGGCACTGCTTCTGCTGCCTTTGGGTTCCTCAGTCCTTGAACGCTGTTTTATCTGTCTTCCTTATTTGTGGTGAAGGCTCAGGGTCTTTCAAAAGTGTTCATGAATTACTGAAGAGGCAAACTGTATGCCTGAAAGTATGGTCGGCGTATGGATTGCTAATTTATAGTGATTTATGTGCATTGTTTTCTCTTTCTAAAGAATTGTTTTGATAGTGTGTATTTCTTTACTGAGGAAACCTAACTTTTTCTCAAATCTGTAGAATTTAGAAAGCCCAGCACTTCAACAACTTTCATTTACTGTCAGACGAGGGGAATTATTGGCTGTGATTGGTCCTGTAGGAGCTGGAAAAGTAAGTCTTAATGTTTACTCCTTTCTGTGGGGTTTTTATCAGTCTGTTAAATCTGATGAGAAATTTGAAAATATACAATTCCTTTCTGTGTATAATAACACACTTTACATTAAGATACTGGCATTCCAGAAAGGCAGATGTTCTTCTAGGGGTACGGAGATGTTTCGGAGTTAAACAGTACTTTGTACGTTGCTTCTAGACTGCATGTAAAGGGTACTAGTGCTCTTCTACTGTTAGCAGTAGTTTGAGTGACAGGGTGAAATAGGCCATCGTGCCAGTAAACACTGCTCAGTCTCTGTGATTTCTTTAATGCAATCAAACTTTTCAATTTTTATTTTATTTTTTTATCTTTTCTAGTCTTCGCTCTTAAGTGCTGTGCTTGGTGAGCTGCCTAAAGACAAAGGTTTGATAAATGTTACTGGAAGAATAGCCTATGTTTCTCAACAGCCTTGGGTGTTTTCTGGTACAGTAAGAAGTAATATACTGTTTGACAAGGAATATGAGAAAGAAAAATACGAAAAAGTTTTAAAAGTCTGTGCTCTTAAAAAGGTATGGTTTTCTCTTTGTGTGTTTTATTTTCACAATCTTTATCTTAGTGTTCTTTCAGACTTGTGGTATATACTGCAATATATAATGTATAGAACTGATTATTAGTAGTAACGTGAAATAAATCATATCGCTTAACAGAAATATGTTTAATTATTTTTGACATCCATGTCTAAGCGCATTCTTGTAATTCATAAAACTTTCGCTAGAGGGAGGTGTAGTTTATGCGAAGCACAGACAAATTTGGAAAAAGCTATCCCCAATTATTTAATTTCATAATCGTGTTTATCGCTTTTCACTGGTCATGGCAGGTGTGTGTGTAAATGCAATAAAAGATGGAAAACAAATGATCAAACTAGCACTATTTGTGATTTCCGTTTTGTAAATATCTTATATGCTTTTTAAAATAAATGTCATGTATATCGTGTATTATGCATTGCTAACGGCTATCAAAAGAACCTTAGTGCTGTATATTGGAGAACTTGCTGAGCCCAAGTAGTTTTATGAAAAACTATTTTTGAAAGGTCTGTGAGCAAAGGAGTTTGTGACATGAGATATGGAAGAGGATTAAGCCAGATTTGTCAAGAAACAGGCATTTTACTTGGCAGCTAAAAAGGTTTTATGCAGCATATTACGATATTCCTGTCAGCAGTGACACAGGTGAAAAGCAGATGGTTACTGTGATGAAAATTTTTTTGCAAGGTTTTTACACATGGTAAATGGAGTTTTAATATCTCCTGCTGATATGCAGTCATATGCTGTTGTCTAAACCTAAGATTTCAGTGACTTTAAAAGACAGCAAACTGCATTTTTTTAAAAAAAACACTTCATATTTGATGGTAGATTTGCTTTCATAGTTTTCTTTCAAATTTATGTATCTTACAAACGCTGTGAATAAACTTTCAGAATATATTTTATAGCTTAATATAAAACTTCTGTATTTCCTGAACAGGAAATAAAATACTGTGACATGGAACACTGTATGATTTTGTTCTCTTACTTGTAGTCCCAAGCCCTGTAAATTAACCAAATTTGTGTGATAAATGTTGTGGTTATTTCTCTTGGATATATTCCAGTAAGAATAAAAATAATGCAGTCCTTAAAGTCATTGGGAAGATAATTTACTGATAATAGTTAGTTCAAGTTTATTTGTTGTGACAGCTCATTTTGTTCTAGTAAAAAATAATTAATTTACTGTTATACTTTGTAATTTTTAGTTTGATTTTCTGAATCACCAGCAAATACTCCTTGTAACGCTGAAAACAGTAGTGCACTTCACTCTGGCAAAGCTGTAGAAAAAGTGAACTTTAAGGTCTCACCTATTTTTCCTGCTTTCTTAATTATCTTTTGCTGAAGGTATAAAGTCATAATGTAACTGCAGATATTTCATTTAGTATTAATCCTTGTATTTTAATGTGAGATGGTAAGTTAATACTTTTCAAATAAGAAAATGTTGTATTGAAGCAGCTTTGTTGGTCTTTGAAGTTAAAATGATTAAAAAAAAAATCTTGCTTTCTCTTCTTTCACATTTACAGGACTTGGAATTATTAGCAAATGGTGACCTAACAGTAATAGGAGATCGTGGAGCTACGTTAAGCGGGGGACAGAAGGCCCGTGTAAATCTGGCCAGGCTAGTGGTTTTTGCTGTTTCCAAAATTTACAAATTGTCAAACTTTAGTGACTGAAGTAGACAAATGCAAGACTTTTTGATACTGACTTCTCTTTAAACCTTTCAGAGCTGTGTATCAGGATGCAGACATCTATCTTTTGGATGATCCACTGAGTGCAGTAGATGCTGAAGTTGGAAGACATTTGTTTGAAAAGTATGTTACTGCTTTATTTTCATTTAAAATACAATTATTATCTTCTAATTCATTATAGAAAAACTTGAGAAAGCATTTTTGGGGAGGTGGATCTCTTCACAAAGCTTAATGCATTCGCTTTCTGCATTTATTTTTCCTCTATCTTATGTATTTGGAAGACATACAGTTTTTTTGCTGTGTGTCTTCCGTTTTGTTCTTTGTTGTTAAGAGCCCTGTAAAAGTCTCTTTTGAAGATACTATAATTACAATTATTCTTAAGGGAATATATGCCATTTTTGTGAGGAAAATGTCAGATTTCATACATGAGTATTGGGGTTTATGAATATTGGGTTTTATGAACATTAGTACTGAGTGAAGAAGAATATAGAGTGGGATTTTAAATCACTGCTTCATTTGCTGCAGCTTTATTTGTGTAGTAATAAGCATTTAATTCAAGTGGCTAAAGAAAAGGACAGAACTCTCTTAGATTCTTGAGTGATTTTTCATTTTGCTTCCTGAACGGTTGAAACTTCTCTCCAGTAGGTGAAACAGGGAACCGTTTACTGGTGAGTAGACTGTGGAGAGCAGAAACAGAGGGGGAGGAAAAATGTATAAGCTTACCATGAAAGAGAGAGATCTTGGACCTTCCTCCATTTCTGAAGAAATAGGAGGGTGTTCATTAGAAGTCAGGTTCCCTTCTCAGTAATTTCCTCTTCTCCATCTCTCTCTTTTAAACTGCGTAATCTGTGGTACATAGTGAGTATGAGAATAATCCAATTATTCCCAGCCAGCGTTTTGTCTTTGCTGCTTCATATCCTGCAGCTCTCGGTGTCAAAAAGTGTAATCTAGAATTTATTAGAAGTAGAGGGAACAACTTCTATTGACTGAATTCATTGGGCTTTGGTTGAAGCCTTAAATGAGAGCGTTTTCTTGAGCATACTTGCATCCTTTGAATTCCATGCTCCAAATACATGAATTAATTTGCTTTTACTGTTGTTCTCTCCTCTCCATCCTTAGACAATTGTAAAAACTTGTCTTGCAGAAATGGTCGTAGAATTTGCATTGACTAGCATTGCATGCATGTTCTTTTTCCCCATGCGGGGAAGCTTTTAGATTTGTATCTGAATTTGAAAATTGTACATCCTATCGATGTTTGCAATTTCAAATCTGGAGATGCCCCTGAAACCCCATCAACATTTTGTTTTATTTTATTGATTTCTTCAAATGGCTACTGTTTGTTTCCATCAGCCAGTATGGAGTAAGAGTTTTATGATGCATAGGCTTTATGGTCATTATTCTATGTAGGATCATTTTCACCTGCCACGACTGATAGATGGAATTCATTACTTCTGTAGTTCACATAGTCTATCATATTCTTCTAATGCCAGTTGAAGCTATCTAGGCTTTAGCTGCTGCTTTTCTGTTTCTGCACAAGATCTCTCTACAGCTCCAGCATCTGACTTTATCAGTGCCCGAGTTCTGAAAGTGCATCCACCTGAGCTGTTTATCTGTCTCTTCCTTAAGCCTTAAGGTCTTTTCACAAAGAGGAAAACAGGAAAGTATGGTAGTGCCTTGCAAAGGAGGCTGGGTTGCCTTTTCAATTTATTCTACATTTTATGTGAGCTGTGACATTGGGATCATCTGCATCCTACTGCAAAACTGAAAGTCTAGATTTTTGTACGTGCGAAGCTGTAAAGGAGCTAGAAAACCATTGCTCTGCAAGCACAGCATATGTTTTGCTGATGAATGTGTGGAGATGAGGAGGAAGAAGGAGATTATGTCAGAGAATTTGAAACTCGGAAAACTAGCTGGGGTTCTTCCTTTACTTTCGTCTACTCTTCTTCCCCAACTCTGGATCAATTTGAGTGAAACAGATAAAAGTAGAATGAAAGCATTTTGTGGAGAAGATGGATTGGGTGGAGTAGTAGTGGCAAGGAAAACTGAGCAGTGCCTCCCTGCTCAAGATCTTAAGGGAGGACTTTTTCACAAACAGAAGTTGTCTTCTGAGGCCTTCATGGCAGCTGTAAAAGGTGCTGGGGGTAGTAGGGAGAGTGTTATGTTCAGTAGGTCGCTTTGAAAAACAAGCGAGAAGAGAGAGAGCACTTAGGCGAGAATGGTTTCTTAGAACACGGTGCTGAGGAATGTCCGAGACTCCACTTCATACAAGCTGCCCCCAGGAGTCCAAACCGCAAGGCATAAAACAATGGACGAGATGGAAGAAACAGGGGGTTATTTAATGAGAATCTGAAGTGGATATTGTTCAGTTCACTCACTCTTTTTTTTTTTCCTTGTAATTTTATATTAAGTTTTAATTTTTTTTAGAAGTGTTTAGTCTATGTGTTTACGTCAAAGATAGGTATGTTCCTAGTAATTCCCCAAAGCTATGGTCTGTGGATGGCTGGTTCATTACATTTGCTGCTTCTCCCCATTCTGTTCAGCTACTGCTGTAAACAGTTTAAAATATATAAATACTTTTGAAATGAGGAAGAATGCGAGTAGCACAGCTCCCGTGGGAAAACAGTCCATGGTGTTATTAATAAGGGATTGTCTCTCTTAAGAATTTCTCCATAATACAGACAAGTTGTTCCATGGATGATGGAGCAGATAAAGCCAGTTTTCGAATGAATTCCTCTTTCCTGGTCAGATTCCTTGGGGCCTAGTAAGGTATAAACTGGAGATTCTCAATTTTTGTGTTATCTGTAGCCTCTTTTTCTTTGCGTTCTCTTGATGGTTAACAGCATGCATGTTTCAGCCTTTTCCCAATGGGGAGGCACCAGTATAGTTTATGTTTTTGTATATATTTATGTGTGTATATGAAAATGCATATATATTTTTATATATATATAAAATAAAATTAGCTTTTCATTAACTTTTGAGACCTCTAGTTTCACAATGAGAGGCAGCCATACACATACAGTGGGACGTTTCCTTGTATGACGAAGTTTGGAATAGCCTGTAGTATTCTAAGAAAATCATTCAGTCATGCGTGGATCCCAAGAAATTTCCTGCTGTCCCTGTGCATCTTTGTAAACATGCTTCTATAGATTATATGGTTTCAAATTACCTTTGGGTAGAAATTAAATTGTGTCCCATCAGTGACAGACTCAAAAATGGTGTTTTTAAGAGTGAGATTTATATTCCATCAGTCTGTTGAGACAGATACTCTTCTCTATTTAAGGTTTTTCCCTTGTATCTTTTCCAGTGACAGGAGCTGTGTGCCAGTCTCGGGTGATGATCAGCCTGATTTCTTTCTGTGCCTCTTCTGTGCTTGTGAGAGTGGACAGAGTTGCAGGACAGTTTGGGAACTGTAAAATCAGACGTAAAGTTGTGATGATACTTGGGAGTTGTATGCACAGGTGTATCATTCCTACTATCAAACAGAATTCTGCAAAGTTTTTTTGTGGCAGGAAGCTCTTTTGAATGTATGGTCATTTGTCTTTTCTCTCTCAATTTTGCCTCTGGAATGAGATAAAAGCTGCAGAAAAAATCACTGCATTTATCTCGGCACAGTAATGAACTTTAGCATCTATTCAGATGGAGCACCTTGGTACTAAGCGAGGACCTCCCACAGGAACTCAGGGGATATGTAACTGGGTCATGGGATAACCATATGTTGAGGCTGACCAGAGAGTCACCTGGCAAGTTGACCAGATGTCCCTCCATTGCCATCTGAGGTAGCTGAGAGTTCCTCTGCAAGACAGGGAAGGGAGCAGGCATGGTTTTGTAGCAAAGGTGTCCTTCGTAATTGCAGAAAAAGGTGAGGAAGAATTGAATGGACAGCAGAGTGGAAAATTCCATCATGCGAAGTGCATGGATTAAGAGATCATGAATTCCTCAGTGCATTATTACCTAAGCCCTAGAAGTGCTTGAGGGGAGGAGCAAAATGAAGTAGAGAAAATGAGTATGAGGATTTTTTTTTTTTTTTTTTAATTAGATATATAGATCTGAATATTTACTTTGTCTGTTTAAAGTAATCTGATTTTTGGAACCCTTAGGAGTCCATGAATGCTTCCAGTCTCATAACTCTCAAAGTGGGATATGCTTGTAGATGTCCTGTAACGTTGGAACATTGAGGGAAAAAATGCTATTATGGTGGTGTAGGTAATTAAAAGCGAGTGGAACTCATCAGTCCTGTAAAACCAGCAGATAAAAGCTAACATGTCTCGTTTCTGTAGAGGAATTACAGACACAATCAATGTGTCAGAGGAACCAAGCAAAGATAACCCTGGCGTGTACTTGCTGGTGCTGTGTTTAAAGGCATATACATCCTAGATGCTTTGTCCACTGGTGACACGTGTACAGGGGAGTTGGTGTGTAAACTTAAGGATTTCACTGTGCTCCCTTTCAGGTAGGATCTCTCTAAATCAAGAGTATCTCTAAGGCTTCCCACTTTGTGTTTTGCACCCGGTCCATGCTTATTATGACTCTGATACTGCTGCACTGGTTACAGCCCTAATCAATACTGGGCAAACTTGAATGCCCCGTATCTCTTTTTTTTTGTGTTACAGGTGTTGCTCTTAAAAACATATCAGTTATACCTTTACATTTACATGATACAAGTGAAATTCCTTGAGCTTTGTTGCGTATGTTGCAGGGAATATGTTTAAAAGGCATGAATATGTTGTAGTAATGTTGCTTGGGGTTTGGGGTTTTTTGTTCATTGTTTTTTTTTTTCCAGAAAGTGAAAAGCATGAGTATGATCACTGCACATAGTGTGTTTTCAAACAACTGTAAAATTTTACAGTTTTTATCTCACAGGAATGTGTGTGGTTTTGTTTGTTGTTTGGTTGGGTTTTTTTTAAATCACACAATATAAAAGCAAAAAAACCCACTTGCAGAACCCCAGTGTAGTTTTGTGCTTTAGTGGTCTGTGAGTGCAGTTGCAAAACAGTATTGTGAATACTAAACCAGAAATGGACTCAAGAGGGAGGTATGCAAATTCATATAGGAAAAGTTCACGAAGAGCTACTTTCACACTAAGATTTTTGGCTGAAAAAGTCCCTAATATAGGGACTCTGGAG